GATAATGTACTAGAAAATTCCGCTATTTCTTTTGTTTTTGTTTCCAAGTGTAGATAGTTGATTCTAGAATCACTTTTTAGACGTTGTCTATTAATGTAAATTGTATTCCCGAACTAAGTATTACCCAAGTCGGACCACTTTTTACCTAATTAAGGTCTTACAGACAGTGGTAATTTGCGGTGGGGCGTAACTCCGGCAGAAGTTCTTAGTTTTAGTCACCGCCAAGTGCAATTAAGGCCTTTCGGTATAATTGCTATGCGCATGCCGTTTACTCCAGTAGGTTTTGGTAAGGATACAGAAACAAAACGTATACATTTGGCAAATATCCGATTTTAGGCGCTATAACTAAATCATAGACAAGCATAAACTATTGTCTATGGGGTGACTTCGGAAATATCCATGTGCCTGTACGAACATACATGTATATTGAGTCAGAGGCCAAAGGCAATTTATGGAGCATATTGTGCCGTTGGCTGGAATCAGTGCTGGAAATCCCACAAAAAATCTCCTTTATTGCATGCACAGCACGTTTCATGTGTTTGTCTGACTGCTCCTGCTCCGGCTCATGCTCCTGCCCCAATTCCTGCTGCTGCAGGGAGTCCTTTTCCTGCTTCTGCTCCTGCTCCTGCTCCTTCTCCTCCTCCCTTGCCAACGTTCATTTGCAAGCAATGTGATCAAGCCTGCAATCTGCAATTTTAAGCAGAAAGCCGAGAGACGCCCAAAGGTATGGGGAGGGGAGGGCAAATAAAGTTTAATTTGAATGCTTCTGTTGAACGTCACACGCTGGGGTATTGGGAAAGCGACAGGGATGGGGATTGAGATTGGGATTGGGATTGGGCGACCTGCCTGTGGGCGTGTCTCGCCCCAAAAGGCTTCCCACGGCGAAGGGGCACCGAAATCAAAGTTATTTGTATTTATTTGCAAAATCGTGCGGCGCGTGCAGGAGCAGCAACAATGCCCCGGACATGATGTACGGGCACCCCATGCATATGTGGTGCAAGGAGTAGTTCTGGGCCATCTTGGGAGTGAGATGTTGGCCGTGTCAGAAGGTGTGGGCTCTGGGAGCGACTCGCTTCATTGCCTGCGATTGCCGTTGCAATCTGCTTATTTGTCCTGAACGAACCGAGAGAAAACACGTGGCGTTTCCGTTTGCAAGCTGCCGTTTATTTGATCCAAATAATCACTAGTATTAAGTCTGTTTTGTCGGTCATTTATCGTAGTCAACAATAATTATAAGCATAGTTCCCAGTATTTATGGCCTAGTCAATATCAAAAATTTACGGCTTTGGGTGTATTTCCTTTATGTGAATATTCAACTCATTTTCTTTCAGACTATTGCATACAATACATTAGTATAATACCTATTTCATGTCATATTTATGATACATTTGTTAATGATTCTTAAATGTACCATAACTTAATACAGAAAGGACACTTATTCGGAAAATGATTTATATAAAGTAAACAGAGCCTTTGGATGAAATGAATCACATTTTCTCTTCTCATTGCTTATGTCAAAGATTTTTAGATACCCAACAGCAAACATTTGTGAAACATAACTCACAACATTTGACATTTTTTCCCTGTGCAGTTGTAGTTTATGCCTGGAATTTACTCTTTTCAATGCTCCCTCTTTCAGTTTTCTGTTTTGCACTTTGCATTGCGGCACGTTGCAAGTGCCGAGGAAAATGTTAACGTCAATATGAAATGCACCTACCAGAGACTAAAGTCCTTTGAATTTTTGCACGCACGTGCGTCACGTTCCTAAGCCAGACCCGCACGAAAACACGTTCCTCTAAGCAAAAGGACTAGGTTCCGACTCCATACAGCTTTTTGCTATTGGTTTGGGTTCGTGTCGGCATGCATCGACACCTCCAGAGTGTCGGAATTGACTTGAGCCCATAACTAAGTGGCCGCTTATTTACACATCACATGGATTTTTCAGAATTACAGAATTTCACAGTCCGAATTCTGGCTAAAAGCAGGGATGCCCAAAAGGATTCACGCCTGTTTGCTTCGCATTTTCTTGCGAAATTGCTTAGTAAATATCATTATCAAGTTTATTCTTATTTTGACAGCATTTCATTTTTGGTTTAAACGTTCGATTTTAATTGCTTTTCGCCCCATCAAATCATATTGGCTGCTTATCAAACATTTATTTACGTCCTACGTCTGGGCGGTGTCTGCCGAATAGACTCAGTTTGGGTTCTTCGGAAGTGCAAGTGCAATACGTATTGCTGCTGCCAGAATGCAATGCATAAATTTATGGCATCCCGATGCCAAGCAGGCAATTAAGAGGAGGAGCCGGGAGTATCTCTGAAAGGATGTTCGAGGAGATTGGCTTGCTTGTTTCGGCAGGGCGTGTGCAGTGAATGCATAAAATGAAAATCTCAAAGCCCGATTCCAAATGCGGCTCAATGCAAAACCAAAAGCGTTATTGCTCAGACTTCAGTTGTGGTACACAGAGAAAACCACAACATAAGTTCGAGATTTTGGGCGGAAATTTAAGTGAGCTGATTTATTGTTCTCCTAATCGGATTACACTTTTGTCTTATATTAATGTGGGTTTTATTAGTAAACGGTAGTATGGAGTGTTCAATGTGAATACGGGTTTTAAGTAAACGAGGGACTTGCTTTGTTTAAGGAGGCGATATTTTGCAGCTTATTACTTAATAAATAAGGTAAGCTATTTCTTCGATTCGAAGCTAGATTTATTTTACTAAGAATAATGTTGTTCGGAAGTAATCTTTAAACTTTGATAAACTTGGTAAACTTTTTCTTTCTCTGCATAGCTGTTGCAGTTGCACTTGTTATCGTTGCTGTAGCTGCAGTTGCAGCCATAAATAAAACAAGCGAACATGGCGATGGCGCGGCCAAGAACCCAATCCCTAGCCCAAAGACAAACCCAAACCCGAATTCGGCCAGTTTTGTGTCTGTGTTGCTTGTGTGTATGTAATATGATTTAAATTCAATTTGTGGCATTTGTTATCGATATCAAGACATGCCCACACACACACAAACACAAACACTCCAAACTGCACACATAAGTGCTAGCACGCAAACAAACACACTCAATTACATGCAGTGAAATTTGTTTTCAATTATACATACGATATATGGCTTAGATGTCTGCCGTCCATGTTCGTCTGCCTCTGGCCCATGTAGTGGTGTTTGTTTGTTCGACGGCATAATGGGGCGTATACGCAATATTTTATGCATCAGCTTTAAAGCAAACCCCTCCGATACTTCCTGCCATGGTCCTTCTCCTTCCAAGTCCTGTCAGGATTGTTTATGGTCTACGTTTTGGCATTAAGTACTGAAAAATTCGCATTCGTTTTGTGTATCCTATTATCGGTTAAATCTTTATGGTTGCCAGTTGCGTTGAAAGGTCTTTTTACACGTTTCGCCAGCGAAACGTTATTGCCAAGTAAACATGGCAAGCTCAAAAAAGAAATACAACATTTTTCTGTAAGGGATACTCTTGAAACTAGCTTTTCATATCTTTATATTCATATTATCATATCTATTGGGATATTTAAATAAATCTTCAAAATATATAGATTTTATATAAGAGTTTTTCTCCCATTTTCGACAAATTTAAGGACGAAACAGATCAGGATGTGGAATGAAATCATTTGGATATCTCATAAATTTATACATCGGTAAGCAAAATCCATTTTTTTAGAATAAGCTTGTGATTTTATATTTTTGCCTTTTCCAAACCATTTTGATTTAAAGCTTAGAACTCTTTAAGGATGTGAAATATTTGCTTCTGTATGGAGTGCCACAGATGTGGCTGAACAAAACCAAAACCACATATCCGAAAAAAAGAAAAAAGCAGGAGTGCCGAAGCTTTTGGCAACTTCAACCGCAATTTACTCATTTCATTTTGAGTTTTGTGGTTTTATTTCGCTTACGAGCGAAATCCATTTGAACAAGAGCCCAACTTTTTGCGTTCTATTTTCCGTCGAGTTTTTTCCCGGCAAGCCACCCCGTTAAGCAGGCCAACTCCGCCGTAACAAGCAAACCCCATCAGCCATCGGCAGGACCCAACTTCAAGTGGCGGGAAAATCCTTTGCTTATAGCCTCCTGTTCGCTTTTCGCCGCTGTTTGCTCAGCGAAAGTACAAATTGCATGGCGCCCAGCTCATTAAGAGTCGACATGCAATTATAAAAGCAAGGCAAAAACTCAAACGGCGTTGGCATGACGCCCGAAAACGAGTGAACGAATCAGCGGGCCAACTCAAATGAAACTCAATTCGGCTCAAAGGCAAAACGGTTTATTCCGTGCGAATACGTTTGCACAAAAGTCAGCCAAAATGTGCGTCATTACACACAGATATGTTTGCACAGAAAGAAATTTTTTATGTAAAACCTATTTTACCATTCATTTAAGAAACCAGATTGGACTCTGATTTGGTTTAAATAAAATATAAATCAAATTTTTGAAAAGGATTATGCAATTGTTATTTATGTTGTATGCCTTTTATTTTAATTAGAAAGATTTCCATATATTAACTAAATTTTGTGAGTATGCGTGTACTATTTATTGATTTCGAAATGTTAAAATGTTTGTTTTTTGGGCTGCATTGGAAAGTTACTGAACTTTTTTTTACAAATAATTAAAGTATGGTATTGTGATATGTATTCAATTAATATTATTGTCTTTATTAAAATTGGAATTAATTCAAAGCCAATTCAAGAAATAAATGTTCTTAAACCAAAACCTAATTTCCTTGATTACTTAATTTTGCCAGTGCAGAGTGTGAGTGTTTCACGTGTTGGCCACTTGACTCATTAAAAAGCCGGAGGTTTTTTCACTCCTCGCCGGGTTTTTGTACGGCTGTGTTGGTGAGTGTGTGTGGCAAAGCGCTTCAATTGCAGTTTCAGCTTTCAACTTGCCCTTTGCAACTGCCCTGAAGTGTTGATGGAAGCCCCACTTTCTTTTCACCCCCGACCCCCGCCCCTTTTCAGCTTCATTTATGCTGCCCTTACGCTTTCCACTTTCCCCACTTTTACCACTTTACCTCCCGTGCCCCGTGGCAGACATTTTCATGTAGCAATTTGTAAGCGCTTTTAAGCCGGGGCACAAGAGCTCGTTATGCCACTTTTCAATGAGGCAGCGGCTCAGTTGGAATGGCAACTGGATTGGAGGGGGAAACGAACTGAAGTGAGGTAAAGTGAAGTGCGCCAAGGTGAGTGCTTTTGCGGCTCAACAGGTTGTGCATGTCGGGCCAAATTAATTATGCATTATGTACATTGGCGAACGGGCGCATTAAGTTGCATAATTTGCCAGACTCGACTCAACTCGACTCGACCCGACTCGACTCGACGACCACTTACCACTGTCCTTGCGGCTAATCCTCGCCAGCTTTCCGTCATTCAAAGCCACGAAGGCGAGCACACAGCTGCCTGCAAAGAGCAAAAAAAGAAACGGAAAAAGACAGTCAGTGACGGAAGCTAAGTAACTCGAAGCGCCATGTTCAGTTCACAAATGTGACGCGACTTCCGGAGCTCACTTCTGCTAATGTTGATGTGTATGCTCCACTGTAATTAATAAAAGTTTCATCAGATAGATAAGCAAGTTTGCTGGCCAAACTTTGCTCATTTTTGCACCCCCACTTAAGTTCGCTCCCCCTGGCATTGCATAAATTGCGTCAAATTAGACAGAAATATTAAATTAATCTCGCCGAAAGTTGCTTTATTGAATTATTTGCCGCCTTGGCCACGTTAATGCGTCGGCAAGGAGAAACTGTTGGCGAACCATTTCAGCCAGGAGTCATTAAACGCGGCGTATGGGTAATTCAGCTTTAAGAAGACCACTCAAAGGATTTGGCATTAGTATCTACGACAAGGACTTATTTATGATTTTAAACTTATAAATGTCCTTTAATATGACTTTTGAACATAAATCTTAACACATTTGTAAAAATTTTAGATCAATAAAAGTCATCGCTATTTATTTGTAAACTTGATGGACACTTAGTTCCATTTATTTCAAAACAATAAATTAGTTATTATCTCTGTTTAGATATAAATGGCATATGCGTTGTAGGGAGAAATACATTATTATAAGCTATAAATAATATATATATATATATTATTAGTAAAATGAATAATGCTCCTAGAAAATGTGAGAATAAAATTAAAGTTGACTCTTTGAAAAATGTCTGTCTAAGAGTGCTGTGTTTCATTTTTGGCGCTTTAGTTGAGTCTGTTTTCACTGTGCAAAAACTCCATGAGCCTGACAATTGTCATTAGGCGGTTTCGCCTCACGACTCGCAGATGTTGTTGTTGCGGGCAGGAAGAGCGACCATCTGCCATTGACAAATGACACGATTTACATTATACTTGATGCAATTTTTCAGCATGCCAGCCGACTTGTCAGCAGTGGACACAGCAGGCAGCCGAACGGGCAAACAAATGATGATGATGTGGATATCTCCGCCTCCGCCTTCGTATGAGTGTGACTGTAAGTGTGTGTATACGAGTCTGGGTTGCTGTGATGCACGCGCCATCTTATGCGCCGGAAACGGAAGTCATTTGGCCGACGTTCACGATGCCGCTCTGTTCATGTCGCTCCGTTTGCCGCTCGATGGCGCCGAGTTTTATGGCGAATGCAAATAGATACTCACACAAGTGCACATAAAACGTAATTCTTTATTTACGGCATCTTCTTTGCCGTCGCCACTTCCTTGGCTCCTCCCATTTTTCCTTTTTCCTTTTTTTTTTTTTTTTTTTTTTTTTTGTTTTTAATTTGCACTACGCCGGGAAACTGTTGCAGTTCCCTGGCAGCGGAAGTGTAGAATTTCTTATGAAAGTTACGAACGTCAAGCGGATGGCGCTGGTACTTTGTCCCTAGTTTTTCGCTTTTCCTCTTACATTTTTGCCCCCGTGGCCCTTCGCATTTGTGAGTCGATAATTTCGTTTTGTTGTTTAGCGTTGTGCATTTTCGCTTCGCAAATGTTGTCCCCACCGTAATTGACATAATTTGCGAGTTTCTCTGGATCACGTCTCATAATATATTCAAGTGCTTGGTAGCGAAGCGAGCGAACCAATTCCGAACTAAGCCAACTTTGGAGAATATCTCTTGGAAAATTGTACGCTTTTTTTGTCTGCATTCACAGACATTTCCCATTAGCCGTGTATAGTATATAGTATTTGTATATATGTATGTACAGACAACATCCCTAGACACGGTTTATGTATTTTGCATGGAAATCGTGCTACAACGGGGCCTTTTGACCGTCCACAAGTCGATAAAGACGTCGGAAATGTCAACATGATGACAACAAATTTGTAAAAAATTCTTGATTTATTTGGCCCCGAAACCACAGCAACAAAAAACAACGACGGGCTAAATGAAATGCTCTCCGGAGTCCGGACTCAGGGAAACCGAAAGAAGGGCGCTCATGCTGGGCTAATGGCACATGGGGGGCGGTGCCACGCCCCCTGGCCATTCAATGCCGCCATCAGCCACACAGCTCACGTAATGAATGCGAGAAAAGCCAAAGCGTAAAAAAATTGCAAGGGAACCGAGATTGAGAATGAGAATGAGTGTGGGATGGTGCTACAGAGGTGGTGCTTTAAGGGGGTGGTCACCCACTTGGAGGTGTGTGTGTGTGGTCGCCTCGCATATAATTTCCAATGTTGACAGGCAGCAAAAGTTAATAACGCACCCATAGACGATAATGGTAGGTCCGTAACGATATACAAATAGTCACAGTCCAACACGGAGAAAACTGCTTGAAATGCTTTTATGCGTTTTAAAAATATTTATCTAGAATCTTAAAAACTCCGTACTAAAAATATAATTTATAAATATTATTTTGCTATACTTTATTAGTGATTTACAAAACTATGCGATTTCTTCAGCACCTCCTTTACCTTCTCTTTGTTTCTTTAATCAAATCAAACTATATTCTACAAAGACCCAAAATGCCAAAACTAAAACTTAAGTTCGCACATATATTTTTTCACAGTGATGGCAGGAGCAAAAGCTCGTTTAGAGGCGCAACCAACCTCATCCACCCTGTAATAGCGTCGCAAATGACCGAGATTTAGCAGCGTCGAACGAGGGTCAGCTCCTGTCCTGACCAGAACCCCCGGCACTCGGCTCCAAAGTCACCTACATCAACGTGGCCATGGCAGCTTTGGTCGGACGACAGGATGTGATGTAGGTGGACTTCAATTCGATTGATGGGCTGTACTTCTTGCGATTAAGTGCTGGACGAGGACAACAATCGACGGAGAACCGAGTTGAATTTGTGGCCAAAAGTGGGGGAAAGCCTTGCTCAGATATTCAAAATGAAAAGAAAACTAAATGTAAGCATTGAAAGTACGTTTTTCAGCATATGATAGAAGCTCGCAATTCGCTGGTAAAATTGCATCGATTTAAGTACGCTCTTGAAGGAGTTCTTTTCTAAGTTTCCCTTGTTTGCTTTGCTCTTTTGTAGGTTTTCGCAAGTTTACTTTTTTATAGGGGCTTCATCGGACTTTCATTCAATGCTGCTATTTCAATATTTATGGCTGAGGAAAGAAGGATGAATGTGATTGAGGAATTTCTATTTTGTAGTTTGATGAATTGGTTTTCTCTTTGGGTTATCTTGACATCTATGTAAAATATTAACTCCATAAGGTATTTATTATGAAATGAAATAAGTAACATGGATTTGATAATAATCAAACCAGCAACCTCCCTTATAAACTTAATTAAATACTTATAATTTATTTGAAATTAACGAGCGATTTTCCCATCGCATTTTAATCGGCATATTTAAACAATTTTATTGGCTGGTATTAGGATTTTTTTTGGTGCTGGCTTGGTCTGCTGGAACCGCCATTAATTTCACGTCAGTATCACCGCGTGCCATTTTGTTAAGTCCCTCTCGGAATTCCTTTTCGCCGCTCCGCTAAATCGTGGGCAATTAACTTTGCTGATGACTCCTGCCAATCACAGCGAACTGACCTGGCCAAGCTGTCGTCCTTTTTGGACCCCAACTAAACTCCGACCCTGGACATGGGTCCACTCGTCCCCTTTGCAGATTTTAAAACTGTCGTTGCGTTGGCTCTCTTGAAACTTGGCCAAATATATATATATTTATATATATATATATATAAATGTTCTTTTTTTGCGCTGCGGTTTCTCGTGGACAGGGATTTTCATTTTAATTTGCTAAATACGTTGGAACAGCTGAGGGAGAAACTTGGCACACCGTGAAAAAATTTTAATATATTTTTTCGATTTGAAAGTTAAAATATATTCCTTGAAATTTTTTTTTTTAATAATTTTTAAAAATTTCAAAACTAATAAATTTTTTTTAATATAATTAAAATTAGTTTTAAGGATAATATCTTACAAGGTATAATTTATTTGTTCAAAGAAACCCTTTTTTTATAAAAAACATAAATTTTAAGTCTCAAGTTAAGTAAATTTAATATCATTATTATTATTCCAATGGAACCATGAACTATCCTCACGATTGTAAACCTCTGCTCAAGGGGCATTTAGTTTTTTTATGAGTGCACTTTGGTTCACCCTTTTGTGATGTTCAGCTAAAATTGGAGTGCTTCCTCGTCGGGGTCGTACATTAAGGAGATTAGTGGACTTAAATGCTTTGATTTAGAATACGTGCCCCACTAGCTATATGCGATAATTAATTCCCAGCTACCAGGTACCCTCTCCACGCACACATCCACATGCACCACGGCAGCACACTCAAGAATGCATGAGGGGAACGGATATCCCATGAAAATGGGAATGCACGGGTGTCACCGCACAAAAGTAATAAGCTGAAAGCTTGACGATGATGAAGACATGGCAGCGGAGTCATTTACAATGCTCCTGCAAAGGGATGCACAAGGCAGGCGGCGAAAAATGTGCGCCATTTTGGCCTGGGTTGTCGCCGAAATAAGTCAGCCATTTCCTAACCCATTGTGCCACCTTGTCACCTTGCCACCTTGCCACAATACCTCCTGCCATCCTGGCACCCACTCCCGTTGCATGTGCATTCTCGCATAGGCGAAAACATAAAACACAATGCCATTTGGCCATTGAAGAAGAAGGAGTCGCGGCAAATGAACATAAAATGCCACTTACTTGTCCAACAGCCACGCCCAAAGGACTTGATAGTGCGGTGGTGGGGTGGTGCGGTGGTGCATAACTCTTGCATTCTTTATGAGTAGGTACTCCGCTTGCTGCCAGCGAGTGTAAATTTGGGTTTGGTGTTCGCGCGACGACGGAAATTTAATGCCTGCAGCAAGTTCATTTAACTTTTTAACCCAGCTCAAATGTATTTGCTTGCTGAATCCTTTTCTCTTTTCTCTTCTATTTTTTTTCTGGTTTGCAGGATCAAAAACACGAAATGGGTTAGGTGACAAAAGGAAAGGTTAGGAGGGATGGGCTGTGATGT